CTTAAGAAGAAAATATTGGCGTAAGAAATAGGATTGCCAAAGAGTTCTTGAATTAAGCCATTTTCCAGAACTGTATAATTTTTGCTGATAATAACTTCAGAATCAGATTCTTCCAAATTGGGCTTTACAAATTTCTTTGAGTGTTACCAAATCACAGTTTACCAAGACTGTTCTAACTGTTCCTAGTTTATTGCGTTATCTCTCATCTGGCAAATCTTTTGGTTAATCATTAGATTCATTAACTACTTTATACATCTTTGGAGTGTCCTTCTTACAGCCAAGGATTCATGCTCCGTATTCTAAAAAGTCTCCAAACCTCTAATATGCATTCTTAGCTCCAGAGTAAGTTTGCTACTCTTTATTTAAAATAATGAGTTTTTAAAGTTTGTTTTACCACTTGAAAGATCTTCTGATTGAAATAGCAAATTCCTGTTTCTCAAGATTAAGACTACACGTGAAACATGATTTAAATTTACAATTATAATTTGAGAATTTGTAAACCTTTAGTTTTACAACTCAGCCATGCTGTAAAGTTTCTTGTCCAAAATCACACTGTAGGTTAACGTCAGCACCTAAGCCACAAAAGTTGGTAAATTTTGGCAGATATTTCCCCTCCAGCCTTTTACAAGCTTCTTTGTTTTTACGTAGTTATTTCATCTAATTTCATGTCCATATGTTCCCCCTTACCATTATAGTATTTACATTTTTCCATGTAATTACATGATTCTCATGAGTCTTATTTTAATGCAAAATGTTCAGAATTTCTGTTTTAATATTTGTTAATAATAAGGTATTTAACATTATCCTTTATTTTTTATATGTTGTGTTTCCTTATAGTTTTTAGAAATGGAATTTATGAATCAAATAATATTAACTTCTTTAACGCTTAAACTATATATTAAAATTATTGTGCTAAAGAATTTCACACTGTCATCAGCAATTTTATGCCAATAGTTGTTTCAATATAACCTCGCTAGCTTTAGTTATTATATTTTTCAGTGATCTTTACTATTTTAATGTTTGGGAAAAGCTAAATCATTTTAATATTATTACTTTATTTCTAGTGAGATTGAACATGTTCTCATATGTATTAAAATAATACTTGTTTTTCCACCGTTTTGAATGATTTCTCTCTGTAATATCATTTGTCTTCTTATTCATAAGGTTTTTTTAGCATTTTCCTTACACTTTACCATATTTCCGGCTATGTGCCACTAAGTGTGTTCCTTTTTTTTATTTTAGTTAACATATATTATTTGTATGTAATGAGTACATAATTTCTTATTATTCCTAAATTTAGAACTCCCTCTTTTCAAAAGTTACTAAATATTTACTTATATAGTACCTTGCAATTTTCATATAATTTGGATTATTTAAATTATTTCACTTTTTAAAACATAAGGGATTTTATTTAGAGGAAGTTGTGAGATAAAAGATTTAACTGTTGTATTTTTTTCCAGAAAGTTAATTGTCTCAGATAATTTTATTGTTAAAGGGTACTGTATAATAATAGATACAAAGAAAGCATTTAAGATGATTTGTAATGATTGGATATTGCTTCTGTATAATTACATACTTTCATATAGTAAGAATGAAAGCAAATAAATTTATTTATAGAGAGATTAGTATCTTTAGGATTGAGACAGTGTCTTTTTCATGTAAATATCCAGCAAAATGTTTAATATGTGTCAATCAAAATGAACAGCTTTACAAGGCAAGGATAATGTTCAAAGAAAGAGAGGCTTTACTAACGTTTTGCAAAGTGGGGGAGGTACTCTTCAACTCATATATTGGTCAATGATTCCCACCGCCAGAGCCCCCACCCCCAGCGTCTTGAGGTAGCTGGGCTTATAAAGTCAAAAACTGCAGGGTATGCATGACTGAGTCCAATTTCTGATTGGTTGACTTTTCCTGTTACAGTTAATCTTGTGCCCAAGGCTTTCCAAATGTCTTAACTGCAGGAAAAACTTTTGCATTGATCTCTGACTTTCTGGCATCAGTCAAGCTTTTGTAATTTTCTATTCCTGTCCACAGCTCAGCTTTGAGGTGGTCATGGTGTCCATCACATCAACTCTGGCCTCATTCTTATCTCTTTCCTTTATCATATATAGTAGCCATTTCATAAATGTTTGGTGAATAGATAAAAAGCGAGTGAAGTTCTGTACAATTTCATTATGCCTCATTATTATGTATTATTAATAATTTTCTCTCCCTTATTAAGGAATTTATAATTTTTGTATTTTATTATATCTTTTAAAGTGTGAAATTTTTAATTAGCATTTACTTTGAACGGATTCTGGAGATATGGTGTTTCCTGAATGATTTTTTAAAGTTTCCTTTTTATTACAGTAAAACATATACAATAGAAAATTTCTCATTTTAGCCATTTTAAGTGTACAGTTCTGTGGCATTAATTAATTCCCATTATGTTTCCAAAACTTTCACCACCCTAAACAGAAACTCTAATTATTAAGCAATAGCTCCCCTTTTCCCTCTCCCACAGAATGGGTAGAAAACATGATCCAACTAAATGCTGTCTACAAGAATCTAACTTTAGATCTAAATACACAAATGGATTGAAAGAAAAATTATGCAAACAGATGTTCCATACAAATATTAACTAAAAGAGGGCTGGGTGGCTAAACTAATACAAGAAAAAATAAATTTTAAATCATTGCTACAAGAGACAAAGAAGAACATTACATATTGATAAAAGGATTAATTCAATAAGAAGACATAACAATTATAAAGCTATATGCAGCAAACATCAGAGCCTCAAAATATATTAAGCAAACCTTGACAGAATTAGAGTGTTATGATTTTGTTAAACTAACATCTGTTAAATGGTGCAAGAGGTGCCGGATGGCGAGCTTCTGTTTAACAACAGACCACAACAAAAACTGAAAATACAGAAGTTTATTATTCACAAGTCCTGGAGGAAGGATACACATGTTTTGAGGACCACATCGGGGCTCAAGGCAGAGCACAGAGAGAGGGACAAGACCTAAGGCACATGCCTTTTTTAGAGTCTACAGGTGGAGTGCTTTGAGGTTTCTGGGCTAGGGCCAGATTGGTCAATTCAAACCAAAACGGTGGGGTTTTGGTAATCCACATGAGGGTCTTATCTCAGGGATGCAGCACACAGGCACTGGGAGGCAGTTGATTACAAGGGCTGTTGGGGAAGTCATATCAGGACTTAAATTTGCTTGCGACTCTGTGACAGCTATGTAGGGCATGTGCTTGTATGAGGGGCTAGTTAGTTTAAGGTGCCTACAGGCTGCTTGACCAAACAAAATGGAGGCCAATGCAGCAATACCAGGGATTAGCTTAGTTAAACTCTCAACATGGAGGGAGAAACAGACAATTCTACAACAATAGTTGGAAGCTTCAATATCCTACTTTCAATAATGGAATGAACAACCAAACAGAAGCCCAATAAGGAAATAGAGAATCTGAACAAAACTATAATCAATCATATCTAACAGACATACATAGAACACTCTCTGCAACAGAAACAGAATATGCATTTTTCCCAAGCACATACAGAACATTCTCCAGAACAGACCAGAAGGTGGGACACAAACCAAGTAGTAATAAATTTTAAAAGATTGAAACCACACAAAATGTTATTAAATACTTCAATAAATAATAGAGTAACAAGAAATGGAATTGACATAGAAAATCATTCTTTTCTTCACATAGCTTTATGGTTAAATGAATTGTTGAATCATATTAACACTACCTAGCAAAGTTTAATAAACACACAATACACTCCACCATAATATATCTCTTAATGGAAACCTCTCAGAAGTATACATTGGGATTATTGACCAAAACTACAGTGTTTTATTTCATTTCTAAAAACTCTTTGGCAATCTTTAGTCGTGAAAGAAATATTGGGCAAATTCCAATAGGGGGCATTCTACAAAATACCTTTCCAGTATTGTTCTATTGTGAAAGGCAGTCTGACAAGGAGCTGAGAAATTTTCACAGCCAAGTAAAGCCTAAGAAAACACCATAAATAACTGTAATGTGGTAACCTGGATGGAATCCTGTACCAGAAAAAGACAGTAGGTTACAACTAAGGAAATTCAAATCAATAATAGACTCTAGTTAATAATATTAATAAATAATGTTGGTTTATTAACTGTGAAAATATACCATATTAAAGTTAGATATAATAAAGGAAACTGGTTGTTTGGCACATAGGAATTCTCTGCACTATCTTCTCAATTTTTCTCAACAGTTCAAAGAATTCTTCTCTTCCCACTCACATAAAAGTCTTAGGATGTGTTGGTGGGGTTCCATATCACTGTATATTCAAACAATAAGCTGATGGTTACTTTTTAATTAGTGTTTTAGTTCTCATTTAGATTGTATACTATCTAAACTTGTTGCTGCAATATTGGAAGGTGGCTTTTAATCAAATAATCATAGACTTTGATATTATGGATTGATGGCAATAGTTCTTATTCTAGTTCAATCTCATGAGAGCACCATTTAAGTTTTTGTTGTAATTATTTATTCACACTGATCTTTCATGTTAACAAAGCAACAGATTATTAGGTTAAGCTTCAAGAGCAAGTCCTACAGAATAATCTACAGAGTTATCAATTTAAAATCACCTCATCACTTCTTATGTTAAAACGAAGGAAATGAATAGTAAGTGTTTTTACTTATTCATTGGCATAGACATATGTTATAAGTGAGCTGGGTCTTATTTCATGATGATATAAGTCAAGATGCTCAAATTGATTTATATATGCATATATTTTTAAATAATTATTTCATGGGTACAAAAGCTATTTCTGAAAATTAAGGGACATATTAAATACTAATTTAAAGCCTTTGATAAATATATTTTAATTTACTTTTTAATATCTGAGATATAGTACTAACTTAATTTGATTAACTTTTACCACTTCAAAGAGGACTATTTCTCGGTTTGAATGCAGATATTAATTTCATTGACTTGCCTATGTTTCTTTTTTTCCCTTTAGGCTGTACTTTGGAGGTATAAGTTTTCTCAGCTGAAAGGTTCTTCAGATGATGGCAAAAGCAAAATCAAATTTTTGTTTCAGAACCCAGATACTAAACAGATTGAAGCAAAGGTAAACCCAATAAATTCATCACACGGCTGACCTCTAATGACATTATTGCCAGTTAAGAAGCAAACTGGAGAAAATTTAGGAAAACCAAAAGAGCAAAAACATAGTCTCTATTCACCTTGGAATAACCCCGATAGCCAAAAATATATATTCACTTTAAAATTTTAATGGCAAATTTCCACTGAAAGGCATCACTTAAATTACTTCAAACTTATTTCATGTTTTCCCCTTGTTATTTTGTGTTAAGCAAAATGAATAAATGAATGACTTTTTGCTATGTCTCATGCAGATGTTCAGTATTCGGAAATATATTAACTATGCTGTTTTTAATTCATCAGAAAGATTTACTGCTTTTATTTTTAGGAATATATATCTTTGTAAATATTGAAAATGTGAATTATTTCAATTACCCTACTATGAAATTCACAGTAGCAATGTTTGAGTTAAAACAAATCATAAGTATCTTATTCCAGTGTGGAGGAAAGGATAAATAACAAATACCAAAGTGCAAAATTAATTCAATGAAAATGAAACCCAACTATAGTTTTTCAACTGTTGAATAAAATTGCCATAATTTTGGTCCATTCTTTACTTAAATTCAGAGGGGGAAGTCTGAGCCTAACATTCAAAGCCTTTCAAGTAGTAGCCCTGTCTGATATTTTAGTGCAAGTCTCTTGTAACACTGCTCTATATTTACGTCAGACACTTTCATTCTTTTAACAAGGTGACTCCTTTCTTGCTTATACATCTGCTAATGCTTTTCTCTTAACTTTTCTCCTTGGATTTTTGTCTGAATCTCTCTGAGATGCCCCATTCCTGTCTTATGTTTGTTTATGGACTTATCTTACTACTTCTTCTGTAGGTAGTAAGATGCAGGTTGTTTAAAGAGGGAACTGTGGATAGAGCTCCTTTTTGCTGGTTTCTTTCCTGCTGCGTTTTTCTAAAGAATCATTGTTACACTTGATCTCATCTTCTTCTTGTCTCCTGTCAGCTTAGGCAAAGACCTTGGTTACTTTATCCACTCTGTTTATTTAACTTTCCTCATAATTTTGAAATCTGCATTTCCATCGTTGCCTCTTCCCTAAAATTAGAACTGGCTATGGAGCTGCCTTGTCTCCATCTATTGCCTCTTCTCCTCCTCTTTTCCTCTTTGGCTACCATTGGTCAATCATTTGTGCCAGCCTCTTACACTGCTCTTTAAAGTGACTTTTACTGATACTATAAAAAAATGCATTACTATTGTCCAAAATTATCTCTCTTTAGCTTTTGGTAGATATCTCAGCCTTTCAAAACATAGGACATATTCTAACACTGGTAAATGATGCTAATATTTTCAGTTCTGTGTTCTTAGAATTAATGTAAAACCTCAACCACTAGTTGCTCACAGTGGTATTGCATTTAATGTTACTTCTCTTCTAATACTTTTTAGTGTGCTTACAAATTCTTAGCTGACAACCTGAAGCAAAAAAGATAAATGCAATGAAATGACTATTAATTATAGGATTTAGACTTCAATTTAATGTAGCGTATATTATATATGCAGCTCATTATATTTACTTAAACTTTATAATTATTAGTCACCTGTCAGCTTCTAAGATATCATTTATTCTTGTTAAAGTGTTCTTAAGCAATATTTCCTAATTTCATTCATTAAGAGGTAGTTTCAAAAGATATTTGTTGAATATGTTTCTTGAACTTATAGGAAGCAATTTAGGAATAGTGAGAAGAGCAATCTTAAAAATAATGGGAAGATATGACAATTGATGAGTTACCAGACTTCTTTAAAGTCACCATCTCCCCATAGAAAATGAGGAATCATAATACGTCTGTGGGTAACACCGAAAATAACAAATTAAATATGGAGACTGTTAAACAACAAATGGCACCTACCCATCTGAATGGTGGCCAGGTCTATAGAACTCTTTAGCCATTCTGACGTGTATCACCACTGCTGGCATCATGGAAACCGTGTAAGAATTAAAACTAGTATAATTGGTAACTACTTTATAACTTTTATAACTGCAACTTGTGAGCATTCCTCAAAAGTACCACCACAGGAGAACAGTAAGGAGAATGCCAGCATGTATCACGTGACTGGACTTATGGGACTCATGTATCATGAGGATGGCTTATGGTTGAAGTTGGTGTCGTCTGAATATTCAACATTTCCTCTGTTAGAACATCACTTTTTTAAAACCAGGGAATAGGCAATATGACACAGTGGAAAGAAAATTAGAATTGGGTTGCCTTGAATTAGTCTCTTCTTTACCATTGCCTAGCTATGTCACCTGGGCAATTTTATCACCAAATTACAACTGCTACCTTGCAGGGAAAATATAAGGAATAAATATCCCTGGTGCCTGGTACATAGAAGGCACTCAATAAGATGAATGAATGCATCTTTTATTGTGAAAATTTTCAAGCTATTTCAAATTATTTTACAATAAACACCCATATGCACACTATCTAAATTCTATCATTTACATTTTACTATATTTCTTTATCACATATCTATCTATCCATCCCTCTATCCATCCATCAATCTATCTTGCGTAGATATATGTTGAAGCGAAATGCAGACATCAGTATAACATTAAGCAATTTTCATAATGTATTTTTGGAATGTTGTTTTTGTCCCTCCACTGATTCCAAATTCCTTACCCATTATTTTATTGGACAGTGCTTTGCATTTATAGTTGTTTATGATAGTTGACAATTGTACACTTTTAATTACATAATATAAATAACAGTCTAATTAAATTTTAACTTAAGTGGAAAATAATCTTAGTAAAACAACAAAAATACTCAGCAAGTGACAGCACTGTATATATATACATTTTTCTATACTTTTTGGTAAGGAAGATTAGTCCTAAGCTAACATCTGTTTCCAATCTTCCTCTTTTTTTTCCTTCTCAAAGTCCCAGTACATTGTTGAATATCCTAGTTGTACATCCTTTTAGTTCTTCTATGTGGGATGTCACCTCAGCATGGCTTGATGAGTGGTGTGTAGGTCCACACCCAGGATCCAAACTGGTGAACCCCAGGCTGCCAAAGTTGAGCACACAAACTTAATTACTACACCAGCAGGCCGGCCCTGAGAGCATTATCTTTTAGTCCATAGATCTTGAAAAATATCATTTTTTTTTTTTTGAGGAAGATTAGCCCTGAGCTAACAACTGCCAATCCTCCTCTTTTTGCTGAGGAAGACTGGCCCTGAGCTAACATCCATGCCCATCCTCCTCTACTTTATACATGGGATGCCTACCACATCATGGCTTTTGCCAAGCGGTGCCATATCCGCACCTGGGATCCAAACTGGCGAACCCCGGGCCGCCAAGAAGCGGAACGTGTGAACTTAACCGCTGCACCACCAGGCCGGCCCCCATTTTTGTTTTCAAGATTCCTTGGGTTCACCTACACAAGTCATTAAAACATGTGCAAATGAGGGCAGATATATATATATTTTTTCATATCTATATCACTTTACTTTCATTTTCATGTCTATTGTGTTGGCTACAAATTTAATTTCTATATTAAATTACAATGATCAGTGTGGACATTCTTCATTCATTCCTTATTTTAAGGGAAAACATTTAGTCTTTCACCATTAAATACGGTGTTAGCTTTAGAGCTTTAATAGAAGTTTTTTCTCAAGTTGAATGAATTCCCCTCTATTTCTATTTTTCTGAAAGGTTTTGTTATGAATGGCTATCAGGTGATGTCTTGCTTGTTAAACAGCAAAATGTAAAAACTCATTTTCAAATATTGAACCAGTCTTGCATTCTTGGAATAAACCCTACTTAATAGTGATGTGTAATTCTTTACATATATTGCTGAATTATATTTGTTAAAAATTTTTTAAGTAGTTTTGCCTTTGTATCTATCAGAGATGTTAGTCTGTAGATTTTATTTATTTATTTTTTTCTTGGTACATTCTTAACTGGTTTTTGTATCAGGATGAAACTGGCTTTAGAAAATCAGTTGAGAATGTTCTCTCTTCTTCTATTTTCTGGAAGATATTGTACAGAATTCTTAATTCTTCTTTGAAGGTTTGGTAGAGTTCTCTAGTGAAACCATCTGGGCCACTAGGTTTCATTTTTGGGATATTTTTAAATTGTGAATTCAGTTAACTGAATAGAAGCTATTCAAATTATTTACTTCTTATCAGATGAGTTCTGGTAATTTTTACTTTGCAAGGTATTGATCAGTTTTATCTAAGTTGTCAAATTTATGTGTGTAGAATTTTTTGTGGTGTTTCCATATTCGCACTTTGAAATCGGTAGATTCTGTAATGATATCCCATTTCATTTCTGATATTACTAATTAGTGCCTTCTCTCTATTTTTCTATGTTAGCCTTGCTAGAGATTTTTCAAAGAATCAGGATTATTTTCTCATTGATTTTCTCTATTGTGTTCTATAAGCAGTTTAATAAATTCTGCTCTTATTTTTATTATTTGCTTATTTTTGGTTGCTTTGGTTTTACATTGCTTGTCTTTTTCTAATTTCACAGGTGAAATTTTAGATTCTTGATTTGAAACTTTCTTGTCTCTATCATATGCATTTAGTGCTATAATTTCTTTCATAGTACTGTGTTTGCTACATCCCACAAATTTTGATATGCTGTATTTCTATTTTCGTTCAATTCTGCATGTTTTTAATTTCCCTTAGGGCTTCCTCTTTGACAGATGGATTTTTTTTTTTAGAAATATGATGTTTAGTTTCCAAGTTTGGGGGATTTTCCTGTTATATTTCTAGAATTGATATATAATCTGATCCAGTTGCTCAGAGAACATGCTCTGTATGGTTTCACTTCTTTTTATTTTTAGTTTTTTTGATTAGGTCATATTTTCTTTATGGCCCAGGATATGATCTCATTTCAGCTTGGAAAGAGTAGAAGTCTAGGCTTCTTACTAGGCCCTTGTTGGTGGAAGTTGAGTGAGGCCACAGTTTTTCTGTAGCATTTGGCTAGAATAAAGTAATTAGTGTATACAAGTCTTCTGCC